TCCCAGTGTAAGCGCTAAAGCTATGAGACTCTTCCCAAAGAGGGCTGGGGTCCTGGCTCAGGTAATAGAGCATCCTGAATTCCCACTCGCGTGCTCTGTCAAAGCCACAGTCATGACAACAGTAACCGCGCGCGCACGCACGCTCTCTCCCCCCTCTGTGTATGTATGTGTGTGTATACACGTCTGTGTAAAATATGCATGTATGTGTGTATATATACATGTGTGTATATATAGACGTGTGTATATATACACACACATAAATCTTAGTGACTTTGTGAAATGTTTTCTTTTTTTTTTTTTTTGGTCAGTTGTGGGGCTTGAACTCATGATCTGGGAGCTGTTCCTGAGCTCTTTTTTCAAGACTCTGCCATTTTGAGCCTCAGCGCTACTTTTTCAGGTGGTAGAGTGCTTGCTTGCCTTGCATGCATGAAGCCCTGGGTTCAATTCCTCAGCACCACATAAACAGGAAAAGCTGGAAATGGCACTGTGGCTCAAGTGGTAGAGCACTAGCCTTGAGCTAAAGAGCTCAAGGCCCTGAGTTCAAGCCCCAGGCCTGGCAAAAAAAAAACAAAAACAGTTTTCAGGTGGTTAATTGGAGATGAGAATCTCGAGGACATTCCTGCCCAGGCTGGTTTTGGGTTGTGATCAGATGTCACTTAGCCTCCAGAGTAATTAGGACTACAGGTGTAAGCCATTGGTGCCTGGCCGAAATGTTTTCTTAGATATGACAGTGAAGTTATATGTGATTAAAAAATCAGAAGATAAAGTGGGCATCATTAAGTAAAAATATGTACTTCTAAGTCTTAATAAGGTAAAGAAACAACCCAAGAATGAGATAAAAATCTCTGAAAATCGGGCTGGGAAGGTGGCTCAGTGGTAGAGTGCTTGTCTTGCATGCATGAAGCCCTGGTTTCAATTCCTCAGCACCACATAAGCAGAAAAAGCTGGAAGTGATCTGTGGCTCAAGTGGTAGAGCTATAACCTTGAGCTGAAGAGCTCAGGGACAGCACCCAGGCTCAGAGTTCAAGACCCACAACCAAAAAAAAAAAAAAATAGTAATAAGGCAGGTGAGGTGGCACAAACTTGTATCCAGTGTTCTGAGGAGGTTGAGGCACACTCTGGGCCACACTGAGACCCTGGCTCAAATTTTTTTTTCTCTAGGGCTTGAGTATAATTTAGGTTTAAGCACTTGACTGGAGTGCATAAGGCCTTGGGTTCAATCTCTAGAACTGCAAAAAGAAAAAAAAATTAAGATACAGTGTTTGAATATACGCCCTTCCAAATATTCTGCAAGCACGTTAAAATCCATCAAGAGAGCCAGGCGCCGGTGGCTCACCTCTGTAATCCTAGCTACTCAGGAGGCTGAGATCTGAGGATTTCAGTTCAAAGCCAGCCCAGGCAGGAAAGTCTGTGAGACTCTTACCTCCATTAAACCACTAGAAAACCGGAAATGGCGCTGTGGCTCTAGTGGTAGAGCGCTCATCTTGAGCTGAAGAGCTGAGGGACAGCGCCCAGGCCCAGAGTTCAAGTCCCATGACCAGCAAAAAAAAAAAAAAAAAAAATCCATCAAGAGCCGGGCGCTGGTGGCTCATGCCTATCATCCTAGCTACTCAGGAGGCTGAGATCTGAGGATCCTGTGGCTTGAAGCCCAGGCAGGAAATTTTGTGAGATTTTTTTTTTGCGGGGGGGAGGGGGTCCATTGTGGGGCCTGAACTCTGGGCCTGGGCGCTGTCCCTCAGCTCTTCAGCTCAAGGCTAGTGCTCTACCACTTGAGCCACAGCGCCACTTCTGGCTTTTTTCTTTTTGCTTATGTGGTGCTGAGGAATTGAACCCAGCGCCTCATGCATGCAAGGCAAGCGCTCTACCACTGAGCCACCTTCCCAGCCCTGTGAGACTCTTACCTCTAATGAACCACTAGAAAGTAGATCTGTGGCTCAGGGACAGCACCCAGGCCTGGAGTCCAAGCCTCATGACTGACAAAGGAAGGAAAAAAAGGAAGAAAGAAAAGCTCCAACAAGAAAACAAATGGAAACCGCACCGAGCACCCCAAGGGTGTGTGTGCTACATAATGAACCCCCCGTACTGCCTGGCCTGGCTACAGATTCAGTCCTCCTCCCTGCCTACCCTCCTAAATACAGCACCGTGCTGCGGTCTTAGGGTAGTATTTTCTAATGAACCTGTTGTTGATTCCTGTCTTACATGTTGGAATTTGAGCTGTTCTGGCATACCAATACTGTAGGTGATGAGTTCAGCTTGCAGAAGAAATGATTAACCAGCCTGTTGCTGAGGAATTAGCTTGACCCCAGAAGCTCAGTCCATGCCTGTCCCACAGTGTTCCTTTGACTTACTGAGGCAAATCACAACATGCTTTGGTCTCAGCAATGGGTCAGTAGTTAGCCATACCGCTCCAAAGTCCGTGTAGGAAGTATCTGCTGGATTTCAAATGTGGACAGCACAGGGTAGCTAGGGCCAAAGTCAGACTGGCAGGCCAGTTTTTCCGGCTGGCATGTTACCTTTTTACATATTTATTTCTAACATCAAGATGCCTAAAGCTAATCTTTTTTTTTTGGGGGGGGGTTAGTCCTGGGACTTGAACTCAGGGTCTGGGCACTGTCCCTGAGCTTCTTTTGCTCAAGGCTAGCACCCTACCACACTCTATCCCAGTGCCACTTTTGGCTTTTTCTGTTTATGTAGTACTGAGGAATTGAACCCAGGGCTTCATGCATACTAGGCGAACACTCTACCACTAAGCCAGGTTCCCAGCCTCCCCCTTCCCTCCCCCTCCCGCCTCCTCTCTTTTTGGGGTCCGGTTGTTGGGCCTGAACTCTGGGCCTGGGCGCTGTCCCTCAGCTCTTCAGCTTAAGGCTAGCGCTCTACCACTTGAGCCACAGCACCACTTCTGGCTTTTTTTCATTTTTGCTTATGTGGTGCCGAGGAATTGAACCCAGGGCCTTAGGCATGCAAGGCAAGCGCTCTATTACTGAGCATCTTCCCAGCCTCCCCCTCTTCCTTCCTTCCTTTCTTCCTTTCTTTCTTCCTTCCTTTATTTCTCTCTTTCTCTTTCTCTCTCGCTTTCTTTCTTGCTTTCTTTGTCCCTCCCTCCCTCCCTCCCTCCTTCCCTCCCTCCTTCCCTTCCTCCCTCCCTTCCTTCCTTCCCATAAGATCTTTGCCTGCAAGGTAAAGCCCGGCTGGGAATGGAGTGTGGTTTTAGCGAGGGAGAACTGTGGTAGACAGAAGCCTGGCTTGTTGTCCTTGTCATCCCATGGTGTGTCACTGACCGCAGATGTCCCCACACCTAGGATGGAGCTGTCCCATGGAATTGTGCTAAGTTGTCTGAAACCTTTTTTTGTAGGGCCCCTGACCTAGAGTCTCCTATGTCTGCCTCCTGAGCATCTGAGCTTCCCAGCATGTAGTCTTGATGACTCCTTACTTATAGTCTTTTTGTGTGGAATTGAACCTCGATATTTTCCTATTTCTTGTTGTTGTTATATTATTGTAGTAGGAAGGGAGCCCAGGGCCTTGCATGGCAAGTGCTCTGTTCTGAGCCACCTCTCAGCCCATCTTTTAGTTTGTTTTGATAGCAGATTAATGTTCCTGCACTGTTAGAAACTCAACAGGTTCCCATGTGGCCAAAGCAAAGGCTTGAACACCAGCTGTGGGACTTCTAGCAAGGTTCCATATTTCAGTCTCATCCACCTGTGTGCCTGGAGCTTGCTGGGGTGGCCCTGGCCCTGGAGTGATTCCTAACCCAGCAAATTCTGAGTGCTGTTACACGAGCAGGTGTGCAGCAGGAGATAGTGATACTCGGGGAGTGTCCCGGGGAGGACGTGCTGCTGGCGGGCAGATAAGCTGAGAGGGCCCTGCGGAGCGGAGGATGCAGGCAGGTCCAGTGTCTGGGGCTCTGCAGCATGGGGGCCTGGCAGGGCGGCTTCTGATGCTGGGGGAGCTGCCAGTGCACCCCCACACGTGTAACTCGCTTGAGAGAAAGCCTCAATGTCCGCCTCCCTGGAGCTTTCAACAAGTGACCTGCACACAGTCACAGACTCCCCTGTGCACACAGTCCTAAACTTACTTGTGTGCTGTAGGCCCGGCGGCATGCCAGTCCAGGTGGAGTGGAACGACAGGTCATTTTGTCTGAGAACTCACACAAGGTGCCCCTGCAGGCCTTGTGGAAGGGCTGGAAGTTTAGCAGAAACCGATGTTCTACTTAGTGAAGGTTTGGCAGTTGTGTAACTGGCAATTCTTCTGTCTGATCTTAGCACAGTAGAGAGATCTGGAATTTCATTGTGTGTTACATAAGTGGACTTACCAGAATTTTTTTTTAATTACTTTTTTTTTTTTTTTTTGGGTCTGGTTGTGGGGCCTGAACTCTGGGCCTGGGCGCTGTCCCTCAGCTCTTCAGCTCAAGGCTAGCGCTCTACCACTTGAGCCACAGCGCCACTTCCGGCTTTTTTCTTTTTGCTTATGTGGTGCTGAGGAATCGAACCCAGGGCCTCAGGCATGCAAGGCAAGCGCTCTACCACTGAGCCACCTTCCCAGCCCCATCCAGAATTTTTTATGTTGGTGGATTTCATAAGGAAGAGAGCTGGAGCTGCATGGCGGCTATTGTGCTCTCACTGTCAGTCTCAGGAGTAAACTGTTACTGCTGTTGGCTTGTTATGGAACACCTTTAGCAGGTGTTTGAATGTTTTCCTGTCTCAGAGCGGTTGGGACAAAGGTGGAGTTTTAAGATGGTGGTAACACAGCCGTGCGAGCACACTGCCGCCACAGGCACCGGGCTCCTGAGTGGCGCGAGGCCAGGGGCTGCTTGTGTCTGTCCTTCTGTCTTTGGTCTTTATTCCTGCATTAAAACATGCGGCTGAGCAGAGACTATAGGACTTCACTTCTCCTTAGCTAGGATTCTGGTGGTCATTTCTCAGTGTAGGCTCTACCGTGGCACAGGTGCTTTTTGGAGTCAGTTAAATAACATTTTTGGTTTTTTCTCTCTTTTTCAGGCAAAAGTAAAGAAGCAGAAATAAAGAGGATAAACAAAGAACTGGCAAACATTAGGTCAAAATTTAAGGGTAAGTGTTTGGGTTTCCCATGGTGGGTCCTGTTTTCAATTTTGCAGGAAGGACCGGATCTTTTGACCCCATCTTCCTCCCACCCGCTGCTGCCACCTCCCCGCCAAATGGAGTTCTCAGTGCAGTTACTATCCTGGCTGTCAGTAATTGAAGCCCATGAAGAGTCAGTCCACTGGCATTCCCGGGTTGTGGGAGTAGCTCATGTCAATTGTTTGGATGGTGTGTCTCCTGGCATAGGTCCTGTTTGTTTGTTGTTGTTTTTTCCTCCGCTTAATTTGTCCCCCCTTTGGAGATGGGCGCATGTGGCTCATACCTGTAATCCTAGCCACCCAGGAGGCTGAGTTCTGAGGATGGTGGTTCAAAGGCAGCCTGGGCAGGAAAGTGTATAAGACTCTTTTCTCCAGTTAACCATAAAAAGCCTGGAGTGGAGCACTAGGTTTGAGCACAAAAGCGCAGGGACAGTACCCAGGCCTTGAGTTCAGGTCCCAGGACTTGCACACACAAGAACTTCTTTTCTTTGGGATTTTTCCTCATGGGGTGACAGGGAAATCTTTTCCTTATTTGGAGAGTCTGTTAATTTTTTCTTTCTGCTTTCTTTAATGGCTTTCACCTTCCATTTATATTACATATATGTATATTATATGTGTGTATGTGTATATATATATATATATATATATTTTTTTTTTTTTTTTTGGTACCTGTTCTGGGCCTTGAACTCAGGGCCTGGGCACTGTCCCTGAGCTTCTTTTGCACAAGGCTAGCACTCTACCACCTGAGCCACAGTGCCACGTCTGGCTTTTTCTATTTATGTAATATTGAGGAGTCAAACCCAGGGCTTCATGCATGCTAGGCAAGGGCTCTACCACTGAGCCACATTCCCAGTCCTATTATTATTATCTTAAAGTAGTTGTACAGAGGGATTTTAATTCAAAGTATTAATTTATGAGTACAGTATTTCTTGAACAATGTCTCCCCATCCCCCCTCCCTGTCTCTCCCAACCCTGCCTATTCTCTCAAGTTCCTTAGTTCCATTTTCACACATGTACACTGAACAGTTAGCTATGTTCACCCACCCTTTCTCTTGTCTGCGCCCTCCTCTGGACCTTCCCCACTCCTGATGACCTCACGTTTCAGCTTTATTTTGTTAAGCTATGAGTTGGTTGTTCAGTGAGTTAAACTATTGTAAACCTCCCTTGTGTGCACCATGCTTTAGACAATATGTTTATGGTTTATGTGTACACACACACACACACACACACGCACACGCACACGCACATGCATGTCCCTGTGTATGTCCTGACATAGGTCTTGGTCTTCCCTTGGATTGGAACCACGCTGCTCAGCAGCTTGCAGAGGTAGGTGGATGTTAAATATTTGGAATGCCCTGCCTGAGGCCATTAGATGTTTGAAGTGTTAGGAAGGAATTACAGCACTTCCAGGGATGTCAGGTGTTTCCGGCTCTGCCAGTCCTACGGTGGCCGCCTCTTCCCTGAGCATGCTCACTTTGAAGAATTGTACAGCACGGTTTTAGTTTCTAGTCTTCAGCACGTTTGGGAAAGCCCAATCACTCCTTTATGCTCTTCAGATTTTGGTGTATTTTTTTTGCAGGTTTGGGACCTGGCTCAAGCTCCTGGGTATACTTTAGCCCAGAGAGTACCTGCAATTGGCCACAAACCATGAGTCCAAGAGGGTGTGGCACTGGACCCTGAGCAGGTGTGGGGGTCTGCACCAGTCTGCCCTGCAGACTCCTGGAGTCTTCCAAAATGGGTGCTTTTTGGGGGGCTTGAATGAATTTTTTAAACTTGTTTATGTCTTATTTTTTTAAATTCTTGTTTGTAATTATAAAGGTGATGTACAGAGGGATTACAATTGCATAAGTCAAGTAGTGAGTACATTTCCTTTCATACAGTGTCTTCCATTCCTTTTCTGTGTCCCAGTCCTCCCATCTCCAACCACAAGTTGTGTAGGTCACTTTCATTAGTGTCCAGTGAACTCTACTACTGCACTTTCGAGTGAATATCTTGTATGAGCAGCTGTTGCAGAAAGTGGAGTTGAGTTGTTACTAGTTGGCATAGCACCTGTTGAGCCCTAGGGGCAGTGTTAAGTCTTGATATTTTATTTTATTTTATTGTCAATCGTGGGCTTGACCTCTGGGCCTGGGCACTGTCCCTCAGCTCTTCAGCTCAAGGTGAGCGCTCTACCACTTGAGCTACAGCACCACCGGTTTTCTGGTGGTTTATTGGAGATAGGAGTCTCACGGTCTTTCCTGCCTGGGCTGGCTTTGAACCGAGATCCTCAGATCTCAGTCTCTTGAATAGCTAGGATTACAGGCGTGAGCCACCGGCACTGGCTTGATATTTTATTTAGTTACATATGTATATATGTGTGTGTATGTGGTGCTGAGGCATCGAACCCAGGGCTTCATGCATGCCAGCACTCTGCCGCTGAGCCCCCTTTCCAGCCCTTAAGTCTTGATACTTTATTTATTTATTTATTTTTGTGGGTCATGGGCCTTGAATTCTGGGCCTGGGCGTTGTTTCTCAGCTCAAGGCTAGTGCTCTACCACTTGACCTACAGCGCGACTTCCAGTTTTCTGGTGGTTTATTGGAGAAAGAGTTTCACGGACTTTCCTGCCTGGGCTGGCTTTGAACTGAGATCCTCAGATCTCAGCCTCCTGAGTAGCTAGGATGACAGGTGTGAGCCACCAGCGCCTGGCAGGTCTTGATACTTCAAAGCCAGGCCCTGGGATGTTCTGGAAAGCCGTGTGATTGGGAGGCCTGCCGCTCCCCTCGTTGTGAAGGGCAGGATGTCACAGGTTGCCCTCCCACCCCAGAATACAGCTCGGCGGGCTCAGGAGGGCTCCTGCGCCTCCCAGGCAGCCCCAAGTGGCTCTTGGTGACTCGTGGGGTTTTGTATTCTGCTGATTACTGTTTGGAGCTTCTTTGTGGTAATCTTGAGGGAGGTGTTCAGTCATGTTGCAATTACAGTAAAGATACAAGTCCTAGGGTGTTCGTGTGTGTGCGGTTTTTATGACTTGGTGATTTGTCATCAAAGTGTTCTGAGGTAAAAGATAATTTGGAGTGTGTATGCCTGCCTAAATTACTGATCTTATTTAAAAGATTAACTTGACAGGTCAAGGTGAGGCTTCCAGCTTCTCTGGCTCCTGTGACTTTGGGATTGTAGCACTCAAGGGAAGCCCTGCAGACCCCGCTGGGGTTTACTGCTGGGTTGAACTGGGGGGCAGAGTTCTTGATGCCAGATGCTCTGATTCCACTGTCAAGAGTCAAGCCTCAAAAAAAAAAAAAAAGCTAACCAACCCTGGGGTTGGAAGCATGGCTTGGTTGGTAGAGTGCCAGCCAGTGAGTAATAGTATCAAGTGCCAAGTTTGAGTCCTGGTCTTGGGTCTAAAGAAGTGAAGAGTGAAACGGTATTTCTGGATTCTGGTGTATACCACGTAGATGAGAAGTGCTGTCCTTGTTCTATTCCAATCTAGCCCTGGCCCAGGCCCCACACCCCCATGGGAGGCCCCCCTCATGCCTTGCTGTTGTGTTATGGCTCATTTCTCTGCCTTACCTACCCTGACCACCTGGGATTAACCCTTTCTTCACCTTTTGTATAGGTGACAAAGCTCTGGATGGCTATAGTAAAAAAAAGTACGTGTGCAAGTTGCTCTTTATCTTTCTCCTTGGTCACGACATTGACTTTGGACACATGGAGGCTGTGAACCTGCTGAGTTCAAACAGATACACGGAAAAGCAGATTGTGAGTATGGTCACAGGGAGGGCTGTGTGCCTAGTGGGCTATTCTCAGACTCTCCTCCCTCCTGTTCCATGCTGGCACCAGCCTCGTTGGCTGGGACAGTGGAGGTTTGTCTTTTTTTTTGGGGGGGGGGACATGGGCGCTGTCCCTCAGCTCTTCAGCTCAAGGCTAGCGCTCTACCACTTGAGCCACAGCGCCACTTCCGGCTTTTTTCTTTTTGCTTATGTGGTGCTGAGGAATCGAACCCAGGGCCTCAGGCATGCAAGGCAAGCGCTCTACCACTGAGCTAACTTCCCAGCCCAATGGAGGTTTGTCTTAAATCAGCTCTAAGGAGGGTCTTCGTTTGGGTGGAGTTCTGAGGGGGTGCCCTTTCTTCCACTGTTGCTTTTCCCCCCAGTATTGGGGATTTAACGTGGGGCCTTGTGCATGCTAGGTAAGTATACTATCTTTTGGGCCATGTGTGCATGCTAAGTAAATATACTACCTTTTGAGCCATGTCCGCAGCTTTTTTTTTTTTTTTTTGTCGGTCGTGGGGCTTGAACTCTGGGCCTGGGCGCTGTCCCTCAGCTCTCCAGCTCAAGGTGAGCGCTCTACCACTTGAGCTACAGGGCCACTTCCAGTTTTCTGGTGGTTTATTGGAGATAGGAGTCTCATGGTCTTTCCTGCCCGGGTTGGCTTTGAACAGTGATCCTCAGATCTCAGCCTCCTGAGTAGCTAGGATTACAGGTGTGAGCCACCAGCGCCCGGCTTTCCGGCTTTTTTTCTTTTTGCTCATGTGGTGCTGAGGAATCGAACCCAGGGCCTCATGCATGCAAGGCAAGTGCTCTATCACTAAGCCACCTTCCCAGCCCCAGATCTTTTCTTAATAAAAATTTATGGACCAGGTGCCAGTGGCTCAACCCTATAATCCTAGTACTCTGGAGGCTGAGATCTGAGGATCACAGTTCAAAGCCATCCCAGGCATGAAAGTCCATGAGACAGACTTTCTCTCCCTCTCCTTCCCTTCTTCCCCCCTCTCTTTCTTTCTCTCTTTCTCTTCACTCCCTTTCTTCCCTTCCCTCCCTTCCCTTCCCTTCCCTTCCCTTCCCTTCCCTTCCCTTCCCTTCCCTTCCCCCCTCCCTCTCCCTCTCCCCCTCCCCCTCCCTTTTAAGTCCTGGGGCTTCAACTAGGACCTGGGCACTGACCCTGAACTTCTTTTGTTCAAGGCTAGCACTCTACCACTTGAGCCACAGCACCAATTCTGGCCTTTTCTGTTTATGTGGAACTAAGGAGTTGAACCCAGGGCTTCATGCATGCTAGGCAAGCACTCTGCCACTAAGCCACATTCCCAGCCCCCGTGAGACTGTTAATCTCCAATTAACCACCAGAAAACTGGAAGCGACACTGTTAATCTCCAATTAACCACCAGAAAATGGTGGCTCAAGTGGTAGAGTGCTTGAGCTGAAGAGCTTAGGCACCTCGCCCAGGCTCAGACTTCAAACCCCACGACCACCCGCTACCTCCCAAAAAATGTGGAGTGAGCCAGGGGATGTGGCACATGCCTGTAATCCCAGCTACATGGAAGCCAGAGGCAGTAGGATTGTGAGTTCTAGCCCAGCCTTCACAAAGTTAATGAGACTATTTAAACAATACTATGCAAGTGTGAACCATGATTCAAAGGTGCCCCCGATATTTATGGTTCAAGTGGTAAGTGGTAGAGCACTTGTTTAGCAAACGAGAAGTCCTGGGTTCATTTCCTAGTACCTCATTAAAGAAAGGAAGAAAAGGAAAGATGGGAAGGGAAGGAAACTAGGAAGGACAAAAATAAAAAAATGAGTTTAGTGTCTGTCCTGTACTAAGCAGTGTGCTGGAAGACCCTGGAGAACAGTGACTAAGAGCAGATGTTGGAGGAAAGGTGTGAGTGACTCTTGTGGTTGTGTGTGAAGAGGAGGAGGTGACAGAATGGTGACACTGGGCTGGGATTTGGTTCGGTAGAGGTGTGACTGGGACACAGGCTGAGAGCGAGCAGTGGACAGCAGTCAGCTGAGTTTCTGAATAGTCTGTTTATTAATGAGCAATGCCGAGGCCGGTCCTCTGGGCCGTGGCCCCTTTCTCCCTGATTTAAAGATGTGTGGCCTCCAGACACTCAGATGCATGAGGATTGGAATGTACCTTAGAAGGAATGCTGAGGCAGGGCAGGGTTGTAGCAACCATGTAGCAGCCATGTAGCTTGTGTGCTCCTGAGAGTGAAGAGTGAGCTTTTGGGACAAGTCTCACCTGTTCTGTGGGGACAGTGATGGAGATTTCATTGTGTACTGTGGGGCAGTGATGGAGGTCTCACCATATTCTGTGAGGACAGCGATGGAGATCTCACATGCTCTGTGGGGATGGTGATGGAGATCTCACCTGCTCTGTGGGGACAGTGATGGAAGTCTCTTTGTGTACTGTGGGGACAGTGATGGAGGGCTTACCATGTTCTGTGGGGATGGTGATGGAGGTCTCACCATGTTCTGTGGGGACAGTGATGGAGGTCTTACCATGCTCTGTGGGGATGGTGATGGAGGTCTTACCATGCTCTGTGGGGATGGTGATGGAGGTCTCTTTGTGTACTGTGGGGATGGTGACAGAGGTTTTCAAAGGTTTGCTTGTATGTGCATCGTGTGTTACATCCCAGGCAGTTGTCATAAGCTCTTTGTCTCCTGCCTTCTTGGAACACAGGGCTACCTGTTCATCTCCGTGTTGGTGAATTCTAACAGTGAGTTGATCCGCTTAATAAACAACGCCATCAAAAACGACCTGGCCAGCCGCAACCCAACCTTCATGGGCCTGGCCCTGCACTGCATCGCCAGCGTGGGCAGCCGGGAGATGGCTGAGGCGTTTGCTGGAGAGATCCCCAAGACCCTCGTAGCGGGGTACGTATCTGGTGCTGCGGACAGTGTGCGCTGGGTAGACCAGTCAGTTGTGTAACGGCCGACTCAGGCCCCATCTCGCTTGTCTGTTTTATGCAACAGGAAGTGCAGTGGTAGAGTTCACATTCCCAGTTAGGATTTTCCTCTCTGACTCGTTAAGTGGACTCAAGGCCTTGTGCTTGCGAGGCAGTCCCTCTGCTACCACTTGAGCCACATTCCCAACGTTTTTTGTTCTAGTTATTTTTCAGTAGCATCCAGGTTTTTGTCTGAGGCTTGCCTCAGGCTGAGATCCTTCTACTTTCAGAGTTACCACGTGGCTGGAATTATAGGCACATGTCATCACGACTAGCTTTTCTGTTCAGATGGGATCTTGCTCATTTTTTGCCTGGACTGGCCTTGATTCATGATCCTCCAAAGTAGCTGAGATTACAGATGTGAACTACAGTGTCTGGCTGACCACTGAGATTTAAGGAAGAGAAGAAAACCCTGACTCTCACCAGCCACACCAGACCCAGGAGGGCCTGTATGGCACAAAGGAAGAAGCATAGTTGCTTTTCAGTGTGGTTGAGCTCTGTCCTGCCTTTCCCATAAGCCTTGGAGAGAAGTCCAAGCCCCAGACCCTGAGGATTTGCATCACCTGTCCCTTCATTTGGAGAGCAGCTGAGTGGGGCTGAGTGGCTGGCTATGGAAGTGTTTGAAATAGCCCTAGCTTGCTTCCCTGCCTGCTCAGGGTGTTTTGTTGAGTTGGACATCTGACCCTCTGATACGCTTGGCTATGCCTCCAGCAGGATTCAGAGGGGCGCAGGATGGCGCAGGAACTGGGCAGGTGCCAAGGCCATGAGGGATGCCGCTCTCTCACTCGTGGCCAAGGCTGGGGAGAAGGTGCAGTGTGTGCCAGCCTTCTCCTCCAGGTCACGTTGCCCCAAGGAGACCTGGAGACCGGGGCTGTGGTGCCCACAGTGAGGTGCCTGCTCAGCAGAGGGTCCTCGGGCTAGAAGGGAGCCAGGAGGGGCACGGGCCTGCCGCTTTTCCTGGGTGTTTATATATAAAACGTTTTTGAGGGGCTGGGAAGGTGGCTCAGTGGTAGAGCGCTTGCCTTGCATGCCTGAGGCCCTGGGTTCGATTCCTCAGCACCACATAAGCAAAAAGAAAAAAGCCAGAAGTGGCGCTGTGGCTCAAGTGGTAGAGCACTGGCCTTGAGCTGAAGAGCTGAGGGACAGCGCCCAGACCAGAGTTCAGGCCCCACGACCGGACCCAAAAAAAAAAACCAGGGATGCAGTTAGTGGCAGAGCACTTGCCCAGCATGCATGAAGCCCTGGTTCCTTCCCCAGCACCACACGCATACACACAAATGCATATACACACGCACATGCACACATGCGCACATACACGTAAATGCACACACACAAGTAACTTTTCTTTGGGAAAATCCTGGAAGAGAATGGAGAGTTTTTCCTATTGGTTTTGCTTGTTTAGGAATAAATATCAGTAACCAAGAAGTAAATGGGAAAGAGCCCCATCTCTCTTCTTCCCTCTCTGTGGAACAGTAGTCCTTACCTGAAGTACTGTGAGGACATGGGCTCAATCTCCCAGGTGTATTCTGACAGCCTCTACAGGGTCTTCCTGGTGGGCCTGCAGCCTCCTGGCTGGGGGGGGGGGAGGGGCCCAGTGCTCTCCACACTGGGCCGATCAGAAGCCAGCTGACCCTTGCCTGGCCTAGTGTCTCCTCAGACCTGCAGCCATTGTGCTTCTGGCCTTTGGGTTACCCTGGAGGGAGACGAGAGAGAGACAAGAGAGGAGAGGAAAGAGGCGGCAGTGTGCTCCCTGAGGCTCGATGTTGGCCCTGGGCTCTCCAGCCGTGGGACGGAAGGGGCAGTGGGGGAAGGAAGCAGGGCCGTCTCACACTGGGCCTGACAGGCTGAGGCCAGGCTAGGACACAGAAGTGACACATTTGTGCAAACTGCTTTTTCTTTAAGCTTTCTGATGAGAGCGGGTGTGGTGGTACACACTTAGGATCCCAGCTTTTGGGAGTGGAGGCAGGGGATTGTGAGTTTGCAGCCAGCTTGGGCTATATATAATGAGACCGTGACTTAAACAGGGCCTTGGGCAAAAAATGTCATGTGATCCTATATCAACCAACAGCTGGGCGTGGCGGAGCACATCTGTCATCCCAGCTGTTCATAAATAAAAGAAGACGGGAGCGGGCTTCAGTGGCTCATGCCTGTCATCATCCTAGCTACTCAGGAGGATCACGGTTCCAAGCCAGCTTGGGCAGGAAAGTCCGTGAAACTCTTCAGTAAACACCAGAAAACTGGAAGTGGTGCTGTGGCTCAAGTGGTAGAGCACTTGCCTTGAGCTGAAGAGCTGAGGGACAGCGCCCAGGCCCAGAGTTCAAGCCCCAGGACTGACAAAAAACAAAAACATGAAATCCCATTTGAAAAATAATAAGGATCCAAAAGGGTTGGAGGCATGGCCCAATTGGTAGAACACCTACCTAGCAAATACAAGGCCCTAAGTTCAGACCCCAAGACTCCTCCACTAAAACAAACAAACCACTCATACCCCAAGGGCTAGAAATCTAGCACTTAGCAAAGTCTTGTATTTATTTATTTATTATTTTTTTTATTATGTGTTGTGGGGCTTGAGCTCTGGGCCTGGGTGCTGTCCCCCAGCTCTTCAGCTCAAGACTAACACTCTGCCACTTGAGCTACGCTACAGCGCCACTTCTGGTTTTCTGGTGGTTTTATTGGAGATAATTAAGAGTCTCACGGTCTTTCCTGCCTGGGCTGGCTTTGAACTGCGATCCTCAGATCTCAGCCTCCTGTGTAGCTGGGATTACAGGCATGAGCCACCAGTGCCTGGCCAAGTCTTGGGTTTTGTTCTTAGTATTTCCATAACAAAGCAAAACAAAACAAAAATCTATTCCCATTCCCACTTGTCTCAGCTCAGCTGTTGGGTACAAGTTAAAACCCTTCCTCCATCTTGGATATCAGGAGTGGGCAGATGCTGTCTGTGTGTGAGCCTACCCCCACCCCCTTCCGGCCCTGCTTCCTCAGCCTGGCGGGCAGGGTGAGGTGTGGGGGTGTGGAAGCGCGGTGGCATTCTGGAGGCGAGAAGGGCCTCCCTGGACTCGTGGGTGGAGGCCCCTGGCACGTTCCTGGTGTGAGAATGGGTGTGTCAGACCCATAGCCAAAAACGCGATGAGTCTAACATGCAGAGCCTGCACGGCCAGGAAAGGTGTGAAAGTTGATGCTATTTGAGGTGAGCCTGCAGGGCTGCTGGGCCACCTGAACTGTGTCCTTCAGTGAGACCTGTGCGGTAGCACATTGATGTCCAGCCTTTGTGGTGATCCTGGCATGCTCTCCCAGAGAGGGGTGCTCTACCGTGCAGGGCTCGGCACGCAAGCCGCAGTGACTGCTCACCTCTGTCTTCTAGGGACACCATGGACAGCGTGAAGCAGAGCGCGGCCTTGTGCCTGCTGCGCCTCTACCGGACATCACCTGACCTTGTGCCAATGGGGGACTGGACTTCGCGAGTGGTGCACCTCCTCAACGACCAGCATTTGGTGAGTCCTGTTGCTGAAGAAGGGCCGGTGTGACTGCGATGGTGCTGGTGTACCCCCCCCCCCCCCGCCCGTGTGGCTGGGCACCGGCCCAGACTCCCTCAGGGACACTGTCTGTGTGGACGATCCCAGTTCCTCGGCCAGCTGCTGGTGTGGGGCGCTGGGCTTCCTGCCAACGCCCCTTCTGTTAGGGCTGGTGCCCTGCTTTATAGAAGGGACGAGGTCTGTGCCCGCTGTCACAGGGCGGGGCTGACCAGGCTGGTGGCAGCGGGTGATGGACAGTGCACCTTACAGCTTGTCCTGAGCAGACACATCAGTGGGTCTGGCCCAGTGGCAGGGGAGAGTGTTAGTTTGTTACTGCCTTATTCCCCAGGAGAAATCTCCAGATGCTAGAAGTACAGGTGATTGCACGTGAACTCCGAGGGAAGCATGTGGGGTGTGGTGGATGCTGTGCTGTGGAGTGCGGCCTCTGGGCCTGCCCCCATCACACCCCTGTGCCTGCGGTGTGGGAGAGGGCCCCACCAGCCAGGGCCCTCAGATGGGAGCCGAGTGCTAGGTGGGGGAGAGGAGCGTCTGCAGGCTGGGTGCCGGGGGCGGGGGAGGCTCACTGCTGGAGGCCGTTGTCAGGTGGACTTGTACCTGAGTCTAGCCTCTGAAACCAGGCTGGGTCTTCAGAGGGCCTCAGTGGGTCCTGGGGGGATCTCAGGCTCAGGCCTCACGGAAGTGTGCAGTGAGGCAGAGCTGTGAGGACTGCCCACAGCGCTTTCTGTGGAGGACTGCGGTCCTGCAGCTCTGGCGCATGCCATCGGCCTCACAGGTGCGTGGCCACAGCACAGTGTTTTTCTGAGTGGCCTAAGGTGCCCGAAGGACCCTCTCAATGGATACTGCGATTCTGGGACCACAGCTACATGGAGAGAGGGGAGTTGGGAGAGAGAGAGAGAGGGACAGAGAGAGACAGATAGAGTACGTATGTGTACTGGGGACCAGAACTATGCTTTTTTGCTTACAACCGGCACTCTCCGCTTTGAACCTCACCTCTAATTCCGCCTTTTTGCTGGTTATTGGCAATGAGTTTGTCAGGTTTGTCTATTCTGCCAGGCTGGTAGCTAGGATTGTAGGTGTGAGCCACTGGTGCCTGGGAGGTAGTTTGCTTGTGGGTTTTCTTTCTTTCTTTTTTTTTGGTGGGGCTTGAACTCTGGGCTTGGGCACTGTCCCTGCTCTCTTCAGCTCAAGGCCAGTGCTCTTGAGCCACTTCTGGTTTTCTAGTGGTTTATTGGAGATAAGAGTCTCACCGTCTTTCCTGCCCGGGCTGGCTTTGAACCACAATCCTCAGATCTCAGCCTCCTGCGTAGCTAGGATTACAGGCGTGAGCCACTGGCACCCGGCTTGCTTGTGGGTTTTCATGTGTGTGACTTCCTTGCCTAGTGCTGTGGCCAGCATCCTTTCCTTCAGTAGGTAGACCCTCAGCTTGATGTGAGTAAGGGAGAAGTTGCCACGTGCAGGCCAGGAAGACCTCTAACCTTCCTCTTTCCTACTCCTCACATGTGGCTTTTCCCAGCCTTCCCTGCTCTCAGCTTCTGGGACCTGGGAAGTGTTAGCTGCCCACTGGAAGTGAATGAGCAGTGTCAGGGCCCAGGGCCACCTTGTGCAGGGGTGAGAGGAATGGAGGTGTGGAGGCAGGGCAGTTAGGGTCAAGCTTGAGGTATCAATCAGGCAGGTGCTGCAGCTGCCCTGGTGGGGAGTGGACATAGACCTGAGCTGGGCCTGAGGGTCAGGTGGAGGAGCAGCTGGTCTGGGGAGGAGGAGGGCACTGTTCCAGCATGGCAGCAGTGCGCCACTAACTCGCTTCCTGCCAGGCTGTGGGGGGGAGAGGAAAGCCTACTGGAGGAGCTGATGTCAGCAGGGTGAGCAGCTCACTATACAGATGCAGCCATGCCCACAAGCCTCAGGGTTCTCAGAGTTCTCTGTGGGACACAGGAGATCTTTCAGCAGTCATTTGCCCACTGAGCCGCTCAGGAAAGGGCAGTTAGGTCTGTTTGCTGAACACCACCTCCACATTTCACTAGGCGGTCGCAGGCCTCCAGGCGGGCCTGCTCTCGGGCAGGGTCTCAGGGGGAACGGGAAGGGAGGACAGAAGGGAGTACCTCTGATCTGAATGGTCCCTGAGCTAGCTGCTCATGTATTTGTAGTACTAAATATTTTAATTTTTAGGGTTGTGAGAAAACTTGTTTTATTTTTGTTGGTCCTGGTACTTGAACTCCCGTTTAGGCCCTGTCCTCGAGCTTTTTTGCTCAAGGCTAATGCTTTAACACTTGGGCCACAGCTGCATTCTGGCTTTTTGGTGGTTGATTGGAGGTAAGATTCTCACAGACTTTCCTGCCCAGGCTGACTTCGCACCATGATCCTCAGATCTCAGCCTCCTAAGTAGCTAGGATGACAGGCGTGAGCACTGGTACCTGGCATACTTGTGTTTGTTTGTTTGTTTATTTTGTTGGTTGTGGGGCTTGAACTCTGGGCTTGGGCGCTGTCCCTGCGCTTTTCAGCTCAAGGTGAGCGCTCTATCGCTGGAGCCACAGCGCCACTTCTGGTTTTCTGGTGGTTAATTGGAGATAGGGGACTCATGGACTTTTCTGCCCGGGCTGGCTTTGAACCGTGATCCTCAGATCTCAGCCTCCTGACTAGCTTGGTTGACAGGCGTGAGCCACCGGCACCCGGCCTTATTTATTTATTTTGAGACAGCGTTTTCCTCATGTAGCCGTAGCTGGTCTTGAATTTGCAGTCTTCCTGCCCTAGTTTCCTGAGTACGGGGATTACAGGTGTGTGTCAGCATGCTCACCTAAGAATTGATGTAGGGAATTTCTTTTCTTAACCAAAATTGTTCAAGAGCAGTTTCTGGGAACAACGATTGGCTGTCCTGGGATGGCGACCTTCACGCCTCCTGCGAGACCACTGTGCCTCCTTGGGGTGTGAGCTGCTCCTACTTGACCCCAGTGGTTTGGGGGGACCCTGCAGGGAAGCTGTCCCATCTGGCATGGGCACGCGTTCAGACTTCAGTGCTTCTGGGCTGGGGGTGAGAGGAGGCAGGGCTGTGACATGAGCACCTCCATAGTGGACAGAATGACAAGTCAGATCTGGTCCCAGCAGGTGGTCGCAGAGGCTGGCCGGGGGCAGGCCTCCTGCTCTATCGGTAGCTGTGTGCGGCCTGGGCTTCCCACTTCCCCGCCCGTGTGTGCTGTCGGGTAGCCTTGGAGCTCCAGTATCCTGGCTGGACTCACACTGCCTCCTGCTGTCTGTTTTTAAGGGAGTGGTGACCGCAGCCACTAGCCTCATCACCACACTGGCCCAGAAGAATCCTGAGGAGTTCAAGACCTCCGTTTCCCTGGCTGTCTCCAGGTTGAGCAGAGTGAGTACTGGCAGGGATGGATGGCAGGGTGGGGCTTGTCTATTAGTTTACTTTTTTAGAATGTAGGCTATGTGACCACTTGGTAAATTCAGGAGTGGAAACTGTCATGGCCAGTCCTTAGGTTTCTTTAAACTTGCGTTGAGTAGCCTCCTCTTCCACTCTGTGGGCAGGTGGAGGGTCAGCCACCCGAGAGCTTAGCGGTGCAGGTGTGTGCCACTGAGCTTCGCTGTTGCACTGTCCTCACCGAGTCCGTGAGAGTGTCAGCTGATGTAGTCAGATGTGCACGTCTTCCCTCTGAGGTTTCTGCTCTTCTGAGGGCTCCCTCAGGCTGGCCAGAGCTGGCACGCTGTCTGCCTGTGAGGTGTCTGTTTCCCAGTGGCATCTTCTACCCTGGGACCACCCTGGACCTGTGGGGCACCCCCCTCCCAGATGAGGCTCTGCCTCCCGCTCCCGCCCCACTGGCCTCCTGGCTTCTGGAGCTCTGCCCAAAGCCGTGATGTCCCGCCGAGCAGCCTTGGCGCCTTACGGTCCTGCTGGGTCGTGAGTCACCTTGCCTTTTTGTTTTTGTGTGCTAGTTTTGGGGTTTGACCTCAGGGATTGGGTGCTGTCTCTGAGCTTTTGTGCTCAAGGCTGGTTCTCTACCACGAGCTGTAGCTCCACTTCTTTTTGGTGGTTAATTGGCAATGAGTCTTACGGCCTTTACTGCCCAGGCTGGTGTCAAAATGTGATCCTTGGATCTCAGCTTCTTGAGTAGCTAGGATTACAGGTGTGAACTGGTGCCCAGCTTGAACATGCCTTTATGAACATGGCATCTCTTCTTTTTATTGGTTTGTGCTGATACTGGGGCTTGGACTCCTGCTTGGCTTTTCTGCTCATAGCTAGCACTCTACCACTTGAGCCATGTTGCCAGTTCTGGCTTTGTGCTAGTTAATTGGATATATAGATTCTCTTGGAACTTTCTGCCCAGGCTGGCTTCAAACTAGGATCGTCTTATCTTGGCCTTCTGAGTAGCTAGGACCATAGATAGAACCCACTGGCACCCAGCATGAAATTGAAAAAAAAACAAACCCCATACATTTTGGTGTGTGTGTGTGTGTGGGGGGGACTTTAACTAGAGTCACATGCTCCCTGGCTTTTTTGCTCACAGCTGGTACTCCGCCACTTGAATCGTGCCCGTGGTCCCAACTTTTTTTTTTTTTCTTGACAGGCCCGGGACTTGAATTCAGGGCCTGGGCACTGTCTCTGAGCTTCTTTTGCTCAAGGCTAGCACTCCACTACTTGAGCCACAGCATATTCTGGCGTTTTTTGTTTATGTGCTATGGAGGAATCGGGCGCAGGGCCACATGCATGTTAGGCAAACACTCTACCACTAAGCCACATTACCAGTCCCCAAACCATGGTACTTTTTTTTTTTTTCTTTTTTTGGTTGTGGGATTTGAATTCTAGGTCTGGGCACTATCTCTGAGCTCTTTAGCTCGAGGCTAGCACTCTACCACTTGAGCCATAGTGCCACTTCTGGCCTTTTCTGTTTATGCGGGTGCTGAGGAATCGAACCCAGGGCCTCATGCATGTGAGGCAAGCATACTACCACTGAGCCGCCTTCCAACCATGTAATTTCTTTGCGAAGAATTAGTTTTTCATTTTATTGGTCTTCTCTGATGTTTTCCTTCCCTCCCCCTCCCTCCCTCTCTCCCTCCCTTTCTTCTTTCCCTTCCTTCCTTCCTAAGATAGAGACAGGGAAAATAAGCCATGGCTTCAGCTTCATAATATGTTTTTAAGACAGCCCATATTAGCTCTGTCACTGTGTTACACTGAAACGTGTACTTGTTTTTCTGCTTCGTCTGGCGGTATGCTGTTTGACTACTTGCTATATTTGTCCTGTTAAGTCCTTTCTTTGGCAGACAGTGTTGAGGTCTGCCACCTACAGGTATGACCACACCTGAGCTCAGGCTATGTTTTGCAGCCTAGGACTGGGCTTATGGATGCCAAACAATGTCACACACGTGCACTTCGTAGTGAGGGTGGGAAAGCGCTGTGAGCCCTTGGAGCAGGAAGTGTGCTGTGTGCTTGTAGAATGAGCTACTTGTCAGACTATTGGCTCAGGGTCTGCTGCACTAAGAAGATACTGGACCAGGGGTATAGCCCTGAGTGGAGCCAGGAGCCAGGACGCTGGGTCTCGTCCTGGGGGCTGTAGGTTGTGGAGTAACCAGCATGCTGGCGTCCTGGGCATTTCCTCCCCCTCTGAAGGACTAGAAGGCCCTCTCTGGTGTCTGACTAGTTTCCTAGCCCACAAAGGAAAGGTGGAGTGTTTGCTGTTGTCTGGAGCATCTGTGGCAGGGTACTGAAGAGCGGTGTTTGTGGTGACGCCGAGCAGCTAAGCACTGTCCAGTTAGGCCGCAGGAGGGTGGCCATAGTGTCTCTCTCTGGGAGAAAGGAAACAGCGCTCATACAGCTGATTCTAGCAACAAGCTGGTGTTCAAGAAGGCATGGCCCGAGGAGCCAGCAGGAAATGGTTGTCTCACCCCTGTGCATTGTCTTACAGATTGTGACATCGGCATCAACAGATCTTCAGGATTATACTTACTACTTTGTCCCTGCTCCCTGGCTGTCAGTCAAACTTCTGAGGTTGTTGCAGTGTTACCCACCCCCAGGTAATGTTCCCCATCCCCTGGGTGTTCTCATTTCCCCTCCCCCAGACAATGTTCCCCTTCATCCAGGTGTTCCCATGAATTCCACCCCCCTCCCCAGGTGCTGGTTCCTGTAAACCCTCTTCTAGAGATATGCCCAGGCCCCTCCAGGAGGTCCCTCGCCAGCGCTCACTGGAAGGGCTTAGCTCAGAGTCCCGTTTGTTAGTGTACAATGTCTTGTCCCTGGATTGGTACTGCCCTACATCCTGTCTTCATGAAGCTGTTATCACAACACAGTCCTGCTAAGTCATGGGTTTCTTTCTTTGTATTATTTTTTTAGTGCTGGTCCTGGGGCTTGAACTTAGGGCCTGGACACTGAATGTTTTTGCTCAAGACTGTTATTCTACCACTTTGACCACAGCTCAACTTTTGGCTTTTTTTTTTTGACAGTTAATTGGAGATAAGAGTCTCATGGACTTTCTTGCCTGGGCAGTCTTTGAACTGTGATCTTTAGATCTTAGCCTCCTGACTAGCTAGGATTATAGCCAACAGTGTGTGGCTTCTCTGTACATCTATTTATGTATATATGTCTGTTAGTCATGGAACTTGAACTCTAAGCCTAGGTGCTGTGTTGTCCCTTAGCTCTTCAGCTCAAGGCAAGCACTCTACCACTTGAGCCACAGTGCCACTTCTGGTTTTCTGGTAGTTAATTGGAGATAGGGGTCTCACAGACTTTCCTGCCTGGGCTGGCTTTGAACAATGATACTCAGATCTCAGCCTCCTGAGTAGCCAGGATTACAGGCTTGAGCAACCGGTGCCCAGCTTTCTCTGTACTTTTATACAGTATAGATCTGTATAGTTAAAAAATTTTTTTTGGTGGTACTAGGGTTTGAATTCAGGGTCTTGAGTTTGCTAGGCAGGTGTTCTGCTGTTTGAGTCACAACCCTAACCCCTTTTTTGTTTCTATTTTTAAGTAGGGTCTGGCTTTTTGCCTGGCTGGTCTGGACCATAGCCCCTTGTGTGGCTGGGAGGATGGCATGCACTACCACACCGGTCTTTTTGTTGGTTGAGAAGGGTCTTGAGAGCTTGTCTCCCGATCTCAGCCCCTTGAGTATCTGAGTCACTACTGCTAGATGAGAGTTTAAAAAGAATAAGTTAGCAGATGTAGTATTTTAATGATTATGTGAGAAACTTACTACAGCACAAGTAATTTAGCTGAGGATACAAAATCCCCCAAAATGATGAAGCACTTACCTCTAGTGTGGCTGTATTTGAAATAAGAAACTAAAGTTACATGAAATCATAAAGGTAGAACTCTGAAGATAGCCTTTTTAACTAAAACTTTGAAATTAGAAAATTCGAGTTTTGAAGTTTTAATAGTTTGATATCTTTATGTTTCTGTTTCATCCAAGATACATTTGACTTCTAAGGGAAGAATCTAGATATAGAATCTCCTGAAGAATGTGAATTAAAATTTTTGTTAGCTGAGCACAGTGGCTTACCTCTGAAATCCTAGCTACTTGGGAAGTGGACATTAGGAAGATCGAAGTTCAAGGCTAGCCTGGCCAAAAAATCCATGAGATCTGGTTTTGTCAAATAAAAAAGTTGGGCATGGTTGAACATGCTGGTCATTCTAGCTATATAGAAAGTGTAAATAGGTGGATCAAGGTTCAGGTTATATCAGGCAAAAACATGAGACTATTAAAAATAATGAGAGGGGCTGGGAAGGTGGCTCAGTGGTAGAGCGCTTGCCTTGCATGCATGAGACCCTGGGTTCGATTCCTCAGCACCACATAAGCAAAAAGAAAAAAGC